CTTGTCATCTTCAGGGTAGCTGCCTATACTCTCAGACTTGATACTATCAATCATAACAAATTTGAATAAAGTCTGTCAATACAAAACAGCAATCTAACAAACCATATTCAACTAAGGTCAGTCAAGATAAAACAGTGTAAGTTATACAGGGCTTCAGAATTAAGTTAATAGGAAATTAAGGATGATCATTGTACTATATCCTGCTATTTTCGGGATAGCTGTCTGTGCCCTCAAATCTAGTACAACTAGACAAACTGGAACAGAATATAGTCCATCTAAACGGGGTAGTGTGAGTAATGTGGGTTTTAAGTCCTGATACACTGTTAACAGTGTCCTCTGCCTTCTTAGACTGCTCCTCCCTTTTCACTCCCACAGGGTACACTGTGTATTTTGGGTCCCACCAACTCCCTCACGTTTTAGATTGAGGGGCCAACGTGCTATTTACCTAAGTGGTTTCGAACCTTCTCCCTCCTGGACTTGACCTCTAGTTGTATTCCACTACCTACAAAAGCCCCAAGGTTTTCCTTTGTCACAGCTGAGTGCTTCTCTACTGCACAGAAGTATCCTGTCTTTCCACCCTGTCTGCAGGTGCTGGTCGAGTTGCCCCTATTTCTTCTGCTTCTCTGTCACACAGAGCATTGTTTTTCTCATATTTGATTTTCGGTCCATAAACTCTTTTTCAGGTTGATTGTATTTCCGATACAGAGCATCTCAGTGGATCCTACCTCCTGATCTACTCTGCCTGTGTTTGTTTTTTGTAAGTGTATCAAGGCCATCTGTGTTAATGATTAAATGAGGCAGTGATTCTCTGCCTCATCTCTGCTATGCTGTTTTTCTGCCATTGGTTGTCTGCTTTTCTCCTTCATTCCACCGTCTGCTCCATTCATTGAGGCCTCTCTGATGCTGTTCCTGAAATCCTGATATTTTTTTTTCTCTCTCTCTAAAATGTCTTCAGTATCCTCTGTAGGGTTGGATTGGTGGTTGCAAATTCCCCCAGTTACTCTTTGTCATGGAAGCATCTTGTTTCTCCATTTATTTCTAGAGACAGTTTTGCAGGGTACGTCAATCTGGGCTGGATGTTATTTTCTTTCAGGGCTTGGAATAATTTTGCTCCAAGTTCCTCTTGATTTGATGGTCTGTGTCAAGAAGTCTGCCATGATTTTGATGGGTTTTCCTTTATAGATGACCAGTTTCTTTCATCTGACAGCTTTTAATATTCTGCTCTTATATTGAATTTCTGGGATCTTGATTATTATATGTCTGGGTGTAACTCTGTTTTGGTTGTAGGTGGCTGGAGTTCTGTATGCCTCATACATCTGAATATTATTTCCTTTTCCTATGCTTGCAAGTTTTCTTTAATTATTTCTGTGAACAACCTTTGTATTTCATTTGTGTTTATTCCTGCTTCTTTGCTCATATTTTTTATTCTTAAGTTATAGATCCTCTTGTCATCTTCTAGCATTTGTATTGTTACTGCCTGTTTCCTTGTTATTTTTAAGAGATTTCTCCTTTCATGACCACATGTTGCAAACCTGTCTTCCAGTTTGGATAATCTATCCTTAGTTTCTTTCAAGCAGTTTTGCCAGCTTTCAGTTTTTTATTTCCTGGTAATCTCTTTGAATCTGCTTCATGTATTCTAGGTTTTATGTATATTCTTTCTCAAACGTTTCTCTCCTTTTTTTGTGTTCCTCTATTGTTCCATCTGCGTCTTCTTGAGGGGTGCTTAGCATTTCTTTTATTATCTACTTATATCTTGCTTTACTTGAATTAATATTTCACTTTTGAGCTCGTCTGTGAGCTCAAAGGATATCTCTTTATGTCCACTGATGCCGTGTCTGATATTGCATGTTTGCTGCCCTCAATCTCTTTTGTACTTACCTCTCCTGGATCAGTATGCTCAGGGCTGGGGGCTGGGGACTTTTTCTTATTTCTTTCCCTTGTCATGTTTTTGGTTTCTTCCATACAGTTGTATGGTGGAGGGCCCAGACCCTTTCTTTGTTGGTTATGATTCATCTGAAGCGCTGGCTAGGGATTTCTGCCTTCTCCAGTTTGCTGTTGGTCCTTGAGGTACCAGCAGCCATGGCGTATGCTGGCCCCTCTCCTCCGGATCAGTCAGCCTGCAGGGATCTTCACTGTGTTAGTGTGCACCGCGTATGGAATGGTTTGGGATGGTTTCTTGGGTCCCGGCCAGGGTGTGACCCAGGCCATGCAGATCCCACCAATCTGCTCTGGGGAGGGGGCAGCTGACTGAAGTCACTGCTGTTCCTTGTTCCTGCCCGTCCTCCCTGATTCCAACATGTCATCCAGGTGGTCACCCCTTTTCCATGAGAAGGTCTTATTCCCAGCACTCACGGTGGGTTAGTGCAGATCTCCACCCTTGCTCTGTTCTCCGTTGGGCTCTCCGACCTCCAACTTCAGCGTGACCATGGATCCAGGATCCGGCAGGACAAAGCGGCGCGAGTTCGGGTGGCTCCAGCGAGCGCGCCTAGGCCGGTAATGGAGCTGCTCCTCCAGTGGTAGCCCTGGTACTGTGTGACTGACCAGCTCTTTTCCCTTTAGTTTCTTACTGGGTCGAGAGGACCCACCTCCCTCTGTCTGGACCTCTCCAGGATGTTTTATTCTGGCATCTGAGTGGTCTCTCCGGGGAGCCTCTGTATGCTGCTGCTTACTGATCTGCCATCTTTGTGAGAGCCCAACCCCGGTACTTTTTAAAATGAAGGTGTGATTCAGTCGTTTTTAGCATGACTCAAATTTGTGCAACTAACACTAGGTCTAAATTTAGAGGTTTCCCTACACTAAAAAGAAGCCCTGTGTGTCCCCTGCGCAGCCCCGCTTTCCCGAGCCCCTGCTTCCCTTCTCGTGGCTGCCTTCTTTCAGCAAGGTCGCGCGTGCCGTGGCCTGTGTGCGCGCCTCCCTGCGCTGTGGCTGTCTGGTCCCACTCCTGTGGGTAGACACGGCTAGTTATCCTCTCATCTGTTGACAGACCCTAGGTTGTCTCCACGGTTTTTTTCCTTCCCCAGCATCACATTCACTTATTTGTCTTAGAAATCCTTATAAAGATCGACAGCCATACCACCCTGAACACGCCCGATCTCGTCTGATCTCGGAAGCTAAGCAGGGTCGGGCCTGATTAGTACTTGGATGGGAGAAATCCTTATAAAGCTATTTATCACACAGATTAACAGCTGGACTAATGGCCCCAAATCCACATTTCTCTATAAATCAAAGCGCTTAGTAGATGGTCAGATATAACTGATTAAAAATGTTGCAGAAAGGAGCGAGCCTTGGGTCTTCACTAGACCCACTTAGTGTGCCATCTTACAGCCAGTATGCGTCACAGTTGACTGTTCGTTCCCAGACTGAAGTGGAGTTGTTTCCGAGCCTGCAGCCAAGTTCCCAGGTACCCGATGGCAGGCGTCTGGGGAGCTGCAAGGGCCGGGCTGAGCACAAGTCCTGATTTTCAGGGCCAAGCAGCAGCTCCCAGGGAGCCTGGCCTCCCTGTAGGGCACCGCACACTGCGGTCCTTCGGAGGGGGGACATGGGGACAGAGGGCGGGGAGGTTGGCACGGCTGGCATGTAGGGAACTGAGGGTGAGGCAGCGGGGTGTGAACATGGAAACAGGGACCGGCTGCGGGGTCCACTTTGGCGGTAGGTTTCGGTGGGGGTCGAGTCCTGTGCTTTGGGGGTGCAGACAGGTTCACAGGCTTCCGGCCTTTCGGGTCTTGATTCTGGGCTGTGAGGTGAGACCAGGCTGGGAACTGCATCACGAGGCTGCTGAGGTGAATAGGTGCACACAGAAGGCCCATCTCCACATGGAGTGAGCCCCTCACAGCAGTGCTTCCACGGTGACTCGCAGGGGCCAGAGTGGCAGCGATGACCGCCGAATGGAGAGGCCACGCCACGTGCTGGGACTGGCCTGGAGCCCTCCTGAGCCCGTGATCCCGGTGGGGCGATGGGGGGAGCGCAGGGCTCGGGCTGGCCCTCAGGCTGCTCTGTGGACAGAGGAGGGCTGGGCCGGCCTTGGCGGGTAGAGTGCTGCCTCCGCAGCCGCCTGCCCCGCGCTCAGGCTCATGGAGAGTGCTCTGTGCAGCCAAGGCCGCGTGTGGCAGTGTGGTGTGCTCTGCATTCGTGTGAGGCATAAGCCTTAAATGGTAGTTGGTGCCAAGTGTGCACCTCTGCACTCTAAACGTGTGCAGACCGTGACTGCACAGCCACGTGGTGGGAACGTCACTGCGGCAGCCGGCCCAGGCCCTGGTGACGCGCCCACCAGGATGCCAGTCCACACACAGCCGGACAAGCCGAGAGTCCCGCGCCCACAGCGTTGCACACACGACACATGTGCTTTCTGTGCTGTGTACAGACTTCTGGCGGAGTGGGACCTGCTGAATTTTATAGACTCCATATTTAGGACCGACGGCAGTAAGCAGATTCAGATAGAAATGAACTCTTTTTCTGTGGTTGTGTGTTTTTCTAAAGAAAACACACTGGTGCTGAGTGTGGCAGCCCTCTGGCTGTGGTTTGTGTCCTCCGCCACAAGTGATGTTGAGCTCCCCCGTGGCTGTATTAGCTGTCTCAAGTCTCCCTGTTCCCCGTGTTGTACTGGTGACCCTCAGTACACCTGCATCACCCATGCTGTCATGAGTCACCTGCCATACTGCGTGTGTTCTGGGAACAGCTGCTTGCCAGTTGTGTGTGTGAGAGCGTCTCTCCTCACCCGTGGCTCACCTGGCGGTGGCTCATGCTCCTTGTTAAAGCCGTTTATTCGTGGAATTCACTTTCCTATGTTCCACCGAAGAGAGCCTTGCCCAGGGCTACGGAGGGTTTCTCTGGTGTATTCTAGGGGTTCCCTAGGAGGTAGCTGGACTGTCGGGGTGGCTGTGGTAGCTTGTGGTTCAGATTAAATGGTGCTCTGAGAGTGCCTGGAAAACAGGAATCCACTGTTTTAAAAAAGCAACAGGACATTAAGCGACTCATGGCTTTTTAACCGTGCTTAATTTTAGGTCAACAGGTGGTCCTTCAGGTCGGAGTGGACATCGGATGGTGGCCTGGAAGAGACAGTTAATCCTTTTTGGTGGCTTCCACGAGAGCGCAAGGTTGGTGCTGGCAGCAGGTGCACCTGTCCTCTGGAGCTCTGTGGAGGACAGGAGGAGCCCTCCCTGCACCAGCGAGATCCGTCCTGCTCCTTCCTCCTCTGCCCTGATGGGTTATCCATCAAATCCGGTGTTACCGTGGCCTTTACTTTGAAACCGTCTTCAAACCAGAACTCTTTCAAAGCCTTATCTGTACTTTGTTTAAAATTGTTTAGGAAGTATTTTGTACAGACAGAAAAGCACAGTACGATTGCACACCTGGCCATCACTGAGCTAAGTTAGTTTGGCTTGGGAGCAGCTGTCAGAGTTGTCCTGCAGGCAGGCGCTGCTCTTCCCTGAGGACAGAATCTCTCCACTGGAAATCTGCAGGTGTAAGCCTGAGGACAGAGTAGGATGTAACGAACGTTTCACGAGCCGGGACCCTGTGCATGCCAGTCTGCTACTAACCGGCCCCAGCGGGAGCCTGCCAGTCTGCGCAGCAGCTGTGGCGAGCTGCTCTCCAGGAGGGCAGCAGCAGCCTTGGGCAGCCTGGCCATGCCTGGGCTGCTCAGTGCTGGCTGCACTGTGTGTGAAGGACAGCTCCGGACAGCTGTCTCGGGTGAGGGAGAGTGTTTCTAAGTGGGTAGAGTCCTTAGGCCTTCTGCACAGCTGGACAGTCTCACTCTGTCTCACTCTGCGACAGTGACCTGTGATAGCAAGTCTCCCCACTGCACTGCGTGCTGACCCCTTGGGCACCTGTGTCCCGGGCACTGAGCGTGGTGGGGTGTGGGGCCAGGCAGGGCCTCCTTGCCTCGCTGGGGTTGGGGATGCAGAGGGGCCGCTCCCGGCCCTGTGCCTGTGCTCCCGTAGTGCTCCCCGCTCTGCCTTGGTCTCAGCACAGTTCTTCCCGGGCTGCAAATCCCTCTCCCCGCACTACTCACCTGAACCACGGTTCCTCACGGAGCACCGAGTATAATCACTGGGAGTTGTGAGCTTGCCAACAAGGCGGGGAAGCCCAGCCTGATTGCAGATTGAATCCCTCTGCTTCTGTGGGCTGGCCCCATTTCTAGCTTTTAAATGAAGCTCACGGGTTTGCAGCCTTTCGCGTGAGTGTGAACTGGCTCCAGTAGACGTGAGCCCGCGCCCGTAGACCGGCGCCCCTCCGGCAGCCTGCTTCCCGCGCCCGCCTGCTGACAGCCTGCGCTGTGCTCTTCCGGCCAGGGACTATGTCTACTACAATGACGTGTACGCCTTCAGCCTGGACACCTTCACGTGGAGCAGGCTGGCCCCGTCGGGGCTCGGACCTTCTCCGCGCTCTGGCTGCCAGATGTCCGTCACCCCCCAGGGCAGCATCATGGTCTACGGAGGCTACTCCAAGCAGGTGAGGCCCGTGGGCAGGGCGGGAGGCGCCTGCCTGCTGCTTCTGTCCCGTTTCCCGGAGCGGTGCTTCAGGCCAGATGGTGCATCAGGGGACCGAGAGCCGCCCCTAGTGAATAGTGTCAGCTTGTTCCTGGGGTACACTCCGATGCTTTTCCTGCCTTAGCATGGTGTAACCCGTGTCCCCCAGAGGGCTGCAGTGGGACCCATCCTGTGTCTCGGGTGTTGCTTCCTCAGCTATGGACCCTGCTGGCGCTCCCGTCCACTGCAGCCGGGCTGTGGCTTAGCTCTCCAATCTGCACACATACGCAGGTGCCTCTGTCTCTCTCCAGCACGCCCCAGTTCCTCTTGTCCACCCTTCTGAGCACAGCAGGACACAGCAGACCCAAGACAGATGCCCAGCATCTCCATGCAGGGTTTTTAAAGTCCCGTGTTTTGAAACTTCTCAAACACATAGCTAACTTGAAGAATCTGCAGTGGACGTGTCCCTGCCCACGCAACCCTCCTGTCCTGTTGTGCTGTCACTTGGTCTTGTGTCTGCACACGTCTCCATCCTGCATCAGCCACAGTGTATTTCAAGGAGAGTCAGAGGTCAAGCCCTGACTGCTCACGTGTCGTCAGGAGGGTGGGTCCCCGGCAGGCAGCTGGGGACAGCTTCCCCTCGCGGAGTGTGTACCCCTTGGGTGGTCCTGCCGGCCTCTCCCGTGCAGTCCCTGCCTGCGCCTCAGAGGCGAGCGCGGCTCCCACCCTCCCATCATGTCCCGGGACGTTGAGTCTGTGGCTTCCTAATGCTTTGTTTCATCTGTGACTTAATTTTTTTGGTTTTTTGAGACAGGGTCTCACTATATAGTCCAGGCTGTCCTTGAACTCACTGTGTAGCCCAGGCTGGTCTTGAACTCAGAACAATCCCCTGCCTCAGCCTCTCTAGTGCGGGGATTACAGGCGTGAGCCACCACGCCCTGCCGTTCCTTCTGCCGCTGCACTGCAGTTTGCTTCTGTCCTGTTAATGGATCCTGCGCTGCCTCCAGGCTCACTGCCAGGAGGAAGGCCACGCCACACGGGCAGCATCGCAGCCTGAGTGGCGGCACGTCTGGAGGAGGCCGGGGGCCCTGCGTGGGTACAGTGGGTGTGGGCCTCTGGTGCCTGCCCTGGACCAGGCCATTCAGTCCACCTCGAGTCTGTGTTCAGCAGTGTTCATCTTTTTCGTCAAGGTCACTCTGGTGCACACTGAAATCACAGTTCTCTAAAGACAGCCAGGATCACACGCTCCTTGTGAGCTCGCTGGTCACTTGTGTGTCTTCCCCAGAGCTTGCGTCTGTGTGTCCTGCTGTCCCTGGGCAGGAGTTGTCGGGCTGCTTTGCCTCCTGGACTCCATCGTTCCCGCACGTGCATCCTGCCGGCACCCGCTTGCACCAAGTGCTTCTGGGAGCAGGAGCTTGGTCTGCATAGCATCTGATGATGCTTTTCCCTCTGTGACCTCTGATGTCCCCTCTCCACATTCCCCTGCACGCAGTGCGGTGCCAGCGTTTACACCAAGCTCTGGGTCTCCCAGGGCCCCTCCTGGGTGTGGCTGAAGCAGGTGCTGGGGTCTGTGTGTCCCGGGATAGGTGTGCGTTTGCTACAGCACTGTCTGCTCCAGCCTTTCCCGCTGGAGGCCTGAGGACCTGTGCTGACCATCGCTGCTGGAGGGAAAGGCCTCATCCTGTCTCCCCTGACTGCTGGTCCCGTGCCAGGGCCTGCTGCTGCTCCGAGCAGAACCTCTTGAAGTTAGGCTGTGGCCTTGAGAAGGCTGGCTGTGGTGGCCTTTCCAGCTCACTGTGGCTGTGCTAGGTTCTGTTTACATTTCAATATAAATTTTAACATCAGCGGGAAGCCCCCCTTTGAGAGGCTGAGGCAGGAGGACTGCCATGAATTCAAGGCCAGCCTGGGCTACATAACAAGACCCTGTCATTAAAAACAAACAAAAACCAGAGCCTCTGTCCCTGCCCTCTGCTGCCTGCTAGAAATGATCGAGGCTTGCCGTTGGCCTGGAGATTGATTTCCAGGGCTGCCATTTTTGGGTCTTCTAGTCCATGAATCCTAGTGAGCGCCTGTGCTCCCTGGATGAGAGTTTGGTGGACTTCATTGACTTCTAGTGCAGCTGAATCTGTCTTCACAGACCGATGTAACTGCGCGACCCTAAAGCCACTCTGACCTGCGTGACTAGTGCTGTGTGGCACAGGGACCCCAAACAAAGAAGCCTAAAGGCAGGTTTTTGTTTTCCCTTCAAAGACAGCGATGGAGTTTTTGGGGAGCCCTGGCTTGTGGAAGGAGGGAATGGGCTCTGCATGGAGGACTGGAAGGCTGTCGGGGCGCAGCCCTGGCCTGAGTGCAGAGCCCCCCCTCCCCTGCCCTCGAGGCTTTGGTGGGAAGTGTGTGAACATCAGCCAGGTGCACCCGGGGCCCAGCATGCTGGGAGGCTGAGGCAGGAGGACCGCATGTTCTGACCCAGCGTGGGCAGCTCAACCAGACCCTGCCTGAAAACTTAGGGGGGAATGGGTGGCTGGAGGTGTGATGTGCAAAGGCCCTGAGTTCACCTCCCGTGCTGTTTTGAGAAAAAGGAGCAGTTGAAGATGAAGCTGACTCGGGGTAGAGAATGTCACTGTCAGCAAACTCAGGGCAGTTCGCATGGGCAGGTGCAGGCACACAGGACCCTGCCAAAGCGCTGTCAGGCCCTGAGCAGCGACGGTGCCCAGGCCTGCCACAGACAAGGCCTCTGGCTGGGAATTCCCTTCCCAGTCACACCGAGCCCTGGTGCTCGGGCACAGGAATCTGTGTGGCTTCCTCCATTAAACTCCTGTGGAGAGGCCCTGCGGTGCAGCTCGGCGTGCGGGCGGCCTGGCGTCCCTTCCAGCACCGAGCAGCAGAGGAACACAGACACTGGCTGTAGGAACGGTGTACTGTGTTCAGATGGCATCACTGGATGGCACAGATGTTTCCAGAGAGGAACAAAAGCCACGTGTACCCCAGGCCCCTCCCCTGGGGTCACGGCTGCTACTCCACGTGGCTGAAGTTGGGTGTCCTTGGCTTTGGTGTACTTGGGCCCAGACAGACCCACAAAGTGTCTGTGAGCAGTTCAATTGGCTGTTTAAATGTTCAAAAGCAGAATAGTTCCCCTGTCCTGTGCTGAGTACCGACAGTGACCAGAACGCCACCCACCCGCACATAGGGCTTTTCCACACCACACACCAGCCTGTGGAGCCTCAGGCATCCTGCAGCTCCACGTGACAAAGCCTGCCTTGCTGGTGGACAGAGGGTACTCCTGGTGGCCAGAGCTGGCCTGCTCCAGCAGTGGAGTGTTCCACCCAGCATGTGTGCAGCCATCGGAGCCCTCAGATTGACCAGGAAGAGGGCGGTCTGCCCTGCAGGGAAGCAGTGCCCCAGGCCGTGGCTGCAGTGTGAAGGTGGCGCACCCCCACCCCTGAAGCCTGGCTGGGCACACAGTGTCCTGGAGAGCACAGGATGGACAGGCGGTCAGAGTGAGACCTCCTGGGCAAGAGCTGACTGACAGGCTGGCCAGGTGGCCAGGCCATCAGCAGGGACGGGCTGCAGTGACCATCAGGAGGCCTGGAAGGCAGTTCTGGAGTCCCGGCAGCCTCCACGCTGTCTCCCCAGGAAGGAGCGGAGGGCAGACAGGCAGACAAGCAGACAGGCAAGGGCTGCGCAGCTTACCAGCCCGGAGGAGCCCAGGGAGACCAGACGACTGTCTTGTGGGGGTTCTGGATAGGTCCAGGGCAGAAAGGGACACAAGAGAGGGGCAGGGACAGGGTCACACTGCTTCATCAAGTGCAGTGCAACAAGCCCGCAGGAGGCCGGAGCTCGGGCAGGACAGGGACTCCGCAGTCAGTGCAGCAAGGAGGTGGCTGGGCTGGGGCGCCCCACTGCGGGCACATCCCACTTGGCAGCCCGCAGGCACCGGGATGCAGGGAAGAGGCGGGTACACCACGGCCCGGGCCGGCAGTGCCTGGCTGGGTGGGGAGCCTGAGGTCAGGCAGCGCGAGGCTGAGGGGTAAGGCAGGGCACGGTGGTTCACGGCTGCACACATCCGTGTGCCCGGTCTCCGAGAGCACGGTGGCTGTACGCTGTCAGAGGGCGGTGCGCCTGTGTGCAGGAGCTGGATGAGCTGTCTGGCGCTGTGGGGGCCTCAGGACGCTGCAGCACTGCCCTGTGTCCATCTGCAGCATGGCCTTGGGTCTGCTGGCAAGGGCAGGCTGAAGGGACTCGGGCTCACTTTGTCTGCACCCTTCCACCGCGTGTCCCCCACTCTGGGGCTTCCACGGCCGTCATCAGGGCCGCAGGGTGGCCCTCACCGACCCTTTTCTTTTTACAGAGAGTCAGAAAAGACGTGGACAGAGGCACCCAGCACTCCGATATGTTTCTGCTGAAGCATGAGGAAGGGGGCGAAGGTACTGTGCTGGCCAGGAGCACTGGCCACCTGGCTGTGGGCAGGGGGCAGCAGGCAGGCTCATGCTCCCCTCCTACGGGTGCGCGGCTGGCAGGGAGCCCCTGAGCTGGGGGCTAACCCTTAGCGTGTCAGCCCTGCGGCCCGTTCCCCTTGCACACTTGGTGACACAGCTCGTGCTCCGGGATGAGGTCATCGTGGAAAGCGCGCTGGGGCAGGGTAACTGCATTGCGCTCAGCCCCACAGGCGTGCAAGGCAGCTGGGCTGTGGGTAGTTGGGGTGAGAGAGGAAGGCGGGGGCTGCTGTTGTGGTCACTTGTGGGCCTTTGAAGGAGTCTTGTGTGTTTGAAGTGGTACTGGGTTTGAACCTTGGGCCTTCCCGCTGAAATCCATCCCTTCCACTTACTGTTTTTAATTGTGAGATAGTTTCACTGAGTTGTCCTGGCTGGGCTTGAACTGGCGATCCTCCTGCCTCAGCCCCCGACTGCTGGGGTTGCAGCATGAGCTGCTGCTATGCCTGGTGGAATCTTGTTTTAAACTGTACGTGGTGGGAAGGTTTTCTGCCGTGCTTCACCCCGGGCCATGTAAATCGGACACTCGCTGAGGAAAGGAGAGAAGGCCTGGGCAGCAGGAGCGCGGGCACCGGCCCCGTGGTCTGGGCCGGGCCAGGCCTGGCCTGGCACGGGCCTGGGGGGAGGACGGGACTCCGGCAAGGCCACGCCAGGTCCTCCTGCCCCACCACTGTGGCCCGCACACGAGTCCTGCTTTCAGCCCGGCTCCTCCTGCGGCTACACACCCTAGGGTCTTTCCCGAACGCCTTGCCGTGGCCCCAGGGCAGTGGCCGGGCGCCGGAGGGGGGCAGCTGGGTGGGGCGTGAAGCTGTCCGCTTTGTTTTCTGCAGAGGGAGCAAAGGAGGCGCCACGCTCCTGCTTGCAGTCACTCATCCGGGGGGCGCCGCGGCTCGGCCTGTCCTGGCCAGCTCTCAGGTCCCCCTGGCTTCTCTGACCCTGTCCTTGGTCTTCAGGCAGATGGGTGTGGACCCGCATTAACCCCTCGGGGGCCAGGCCCTCCCCGAGGTCTGGCTTTTCAGTGGCCGTGACCCCCAGTCAGCAGACAGTGCTCTTCGGGGGCGTCTGTGACGAGGAGGAGGAGGAGAGCCTGGAGGGGGTGTTCTTCAACGACCTGTACTTCTACGATGCCGCCAAGAACCGCTGGTTCGCGGGGCAGCTGCAGGTAGGTGGGCTCGGAGAGCGCTGCATCGTCCCCCAGAACATGGTCCAGGTCCTTCCCGGGCCCTGACTGGCATGGGGGGCTAAGCCCTGCGCCTGGCAGGGCTGCGCCAAGGCTCAGAGAGCATCCCAGAAGTGCCTCTGTATGTGGCCCAAGCTGGTCCCTGGCTTCCCACCGGGCAGCTGCTAGCTAGGACCTGCCCACACAGGCAGGACAGTGGGAGACAGTACTGAGAGGGGATCCCAGCAGACTCAGCTCCCCTGTGTCGGGTCAGGTCAGCTACAGACTCAGGCTCCCCTCTGAGGGTCCTGAGGAAGAGAACCCGGGTGTGGTCAGGTGTCAGGCTCGCACAGGCACAGTGGTCAGGAGGACCATGTGGCAGAACCTGTGCGGGGTGTCCGGCTGCTGTCCGGAGCACTGAGACCAAATGGAAGGTTCGTGTGCTGTTCCCAAACCACTCACCGCCTCAAGAGGACAGGGGCCCCCAAAAGCTTTCTTTGGGGTTTGTCGATGTGTCCTGGGTACAGAGTAGGTCTTGGTACCTAGAGTGTGGGTCTGACTCGGGTAGACCAGGGGGCCGTGGCAGTTGGAACCTTTGATTGTAACGTGGCAGATGGCGTCTTGTAAGGATGAGAGTCTGTGAGGAATCACCCGGGGCAGCAGCAGGGTCCAGATGTAGCTGCACCTGAGCCTAGATGGGACAGGGCGGATGCACAGTGGTCCCGAGGAGGGGCCTGGCGGGAGAACTTCTGGGCGCACACAGAGGGCGAGGGCCTACTGTGTCCTCGGCAGAGGGTGGGGTCCTGGGGTCGCTGGCTGCTGCAGCCTCTGGGCAACCCAGCCAGCTTGGACCTGCGCATCCTCCACATGTGAGCAAGCCCCGTTCTGAGGAGCACCCCCTCCTCGAGGGTGACGGGCGCCTGCTCCTGTCCCCACAGACCCATCGGGGCACTCGGGGCAGTGGTCCGTGCTCTGCCCTTCAGCTCACGCTCTGCGCCCTTGTTCTGTGGACAGGGCCCCAAGTCCGAGAAGAAGAAGCGGAGGCGGGGCCAGGCCGAGGAGCCCGCAGGAGCCGACGGGCGGGAGCTCGGGCCAGCTGGCGCCCCGGCACCCCTGGAGGTGGTCAAGGAGGTGGTATCTGAGGACGGGACCGTGGTGACCATTAAACAAGTGCTCCAGGCCCCGGGCCCGGCGGCGCAGGCCCCGTCTGAGGAGGACGCCGGTGCCAGGGAGGCCAGCAGGCCCAGGGTCGAGCCGTGCCCGCGCTCCAGCGCCATGCTGGCCGTGAAGCACGGACTGCTGTTCGTCTACGGGGGGATGTTTGAGGCTGGCGACCGCCAGGTGACTCTCAACGACCTGTACTGCCTTGACCTGCACCGGATGGAGGAGTGGAAGGCCTTGGTGGAGATGGACCCAAGTAAGCGGGCCGGGTGTGTGCATGTGTGTGTGCGCCTGGCTGGACGCATGTCACCCCAGGGAGCCTCACCTGTAGGCCTCTTTCCTAAGACCGGGGCCTGGGTGTGGAGAGAGGCCTGCGGTGTCCAGGATCCGGGCCCGCGGTAGGACCTGGCACACGGGGGCCGTGCCTTCCTCATCACCGACCAGGCAGGGCTCCCCGCCTGGCTCCTTTTTCTTTGAGGCAATCTCACTGCGTGGTCCAGGCTGGCTTCTAACTCAAGGTGACTGTCCTGCCTCAGCCGCCTGAGTGCTGGGGTGACAGGAGTGTGCCCCCGCACCGGCCCCTCCTCACCCACACGCTGCCTTTCCCGGAGCTCTGCATCCCGCTTCCCCACTACTGCAGCTGGGCCGGCCATTGTGTTTCGAACACTGAACGCAGAGCGAGTGTTCGGGAAGGGGCTCACACCGTGCGCCTCTGCAGAGCTGGGGCACAGGCGGCCTCCAGCAGGCGGCCCGGTCCGTGGGGAGCGCGGCTCTGTGCCTGCCCGCCTGGTCCCAGCCCTCAGCCCTTCTTACCGTCCCAGGCTCTGGGCAGCGAAGTTAGGGCACACATCCCCAGCCCGTTCCCGGGTCACCATGAGAATGTCCACGTTCATCTCCCCTTTGAAGAGACCCAGGAGTGGCTGGAGGAGACGGACTCGGATGAGGACAGCGACTCGGCTAGGGATGCGGAGGCGGGAGACGAGGACCAGGACGAGGACAGTGAGGAGGACAGCGGCGCAGAGCCAGGTGAGGCTCCCTCGGCCTGACTCGGTTCCGCGAGTGCTGGGCTCGGGCGGCTCGCTGATGACCGCAGGGCGTCCGGCCTCTCCAGGTCCTGCGAGTGGCCGTCCCCTCTGTGTGGCCCTCCATGCTCAGTGTCTCTCTCTCATTGCCCTTTTCTACAAAGAAGAGCCACAGCACCCAGAGATGGCACCCCGGGAGCAGCGCGTGGATGCCCTGGCCAGGACAGAGCAGCACGGGCTGAAGCTTGCGTGTGACGCCCCGGAGCCCGGTGCCGAGGAGGGGAAAGCGCCGAAGCGGGCGTAGCCCACGCAGAGACCCCTTCACCGACTCAGCCCGCGGGCCGCCCCAGGGCCGGAGGGCCGTGAACTCCTGGGGCTGTGGGGTGCGAGCGAGGGGGCCGTGGGGGGTCTGTTGGCGAGGAGCAGTGTGGGCTGGGGCCACGGGGCGGCTGTTTCTCCTCTAATAAAACCACTCTGTGCGCTTTGTGGGCTTTCCTTCTGCGGGCGGCACCTCGGGGAGCAGCGCCCGGGACGCTGAGCCCAGCTGGGCCTGCGTTTCTGTGGGTCACTTGGCAGCAGGTTTTGGGTGTTGTCCTGTCTACCTCTTCCTTCGTGGCCTTGGGAAGGACCTGGCAGAGGTCATTATTTGCGAAATGACAGAGGTAGAAAGCCAGAGGGCAGGGCTCCTGCCACCCCCACCCCCTCAGTATCCAGTGCCCCTGGTCCAGGGGCTGGGCGTGCACTGCTGGGGAACCCAGTGTCCTGGCACCGGGACTGGTGTCTGCTCTGAGTTAGTGACAGATCAGTCTATGTTTTGCAGTTGAGCCTTCAGTTCACACTGGTGCAGGTTCCCTTTCAGGCTGGCATCAGACTCTAAGCAGTCCTCCTGCCACAGCCTCCTAGAGTTACAGAAGAGTGGGACCCCTGGCGGAGCAGGGCTCCGGCTGTGAACGCTGCGCTGGGTGTTACCCGGGCTCCCGGGACGGAAGGCTCGCACGCTGTCCCAGGTGTTCTCTTAGCAGCGCGTCAGCCTCAGGGCCCGACCACTCGGGTGGGAGTTGCCGAGCTCCTCTGGCTGGACACTAGTGTGCGCTTTGGTGAGCAGGGCAAGAGCTGGCCTGAGGGACGGGACCCCAGCTGCCGGCCCTCGCTCATACTCTGCTTGTGACACGGTCAAGCTGGTGGAAACCGGAAAGCCGCAGGTACTGTCCTCTGGGGCCACCAGCTCTCTGGACGTACAGGCTGGGCCTGTCCGGGGTGCTGGGGGACCCGGCACCTGACAGCAGTGGCGGTCACTGGCCAGTGTGCAGGGTGTGTTGTGTGAGGGACGGAGCTGAGCTGGCTCAGTGTTTGTGCATCGCCTCTTTGTGCAGCCATCTGGGCGGGGCCTGATGTCGGTCTGTCCACGCGTGACGGAGACCAGCCAGTCATCCCTGCTGCCCAGCGGTGATACCTGCACTGCGGGAGGCTTCCGGGGACCAGTTTTCTCCCAGAGCGGCCTATGACTCTGGAGCTTTGGAAGGAGGAGCTTCGAGGTCAGTCGGGAGGGACAGGGCAGGTCCCTGGAGAGCCAGCGGGACAGAGGCACCCCTCCGTGCCCAGGCATGACTGAGTGGCACTGTGTTGGCTCACTTCCCAAGGTGTGGGGACGGCAGGAGTGAGAGTGCCACCCAGGGCACCGTGTTGGGGATGAAGCACAGTGGTCTGCTGCCCGTGGGACCCACCATGGGTGTCCTGCTCCCCCTGACTCCAAGGCTGGAGTCACAGCCCTCCTGCACTCTGGGGACAGACGCTGGGGGCGGGACTCCGGCTCACAGGCCAGTGGCACCGTAGCCAGCCTGAGCTGTGTGGGGCTTGCGTGGCCTCCTCCCCGCTCCCCAGACACTCGAGCTGGCCTCGTGGGCTGTGCTGTGGGTCAGTGAGTGTGCGGGGCATTGCAGCCGCCACCTTCCCTCGGGTTGGTTGGATTGGACAGAAACGAAGGAGCCACCAACCAAGCTCAGTGACCCATGACCTGCCTCACTGGCTGCAGTGTGATGGCGGGGATGATTCTTTGCGGAAGCTGAGTTTCCACTGAGATAGTGCAGAACAGGCCGAGGCTGGCTGGGCGGCAGCGTCTTCTGGGGTGCATGAGAAGAAGCCTCCCCAAGGAAACCAGCCAGTTCATGTCACAGTCGGGCGACCAGACACAGCCCACACTTGGCACACACACACACACACACACCCGCAGGTGCATGGCAGGAAGGATGCTTGCAGGACCACAGCTTTCCACAGAGGAGTCCTCTAGGGGTGGACGGTGTTCCCTCGGCAGCTGCCTGCAGAGCTCCACCAGACCTAGGCCTGGCACCCCAGAAGGTGGCCCCAGTCCAGCTCGAGCCCAGGGTGTCCATCACCGAGACACCCCTCAGCCTGCTGACTGCAGGGAGGTTCTGGGGCTCCTCCTGGAGAGGGCCCAGGAGTCACTCCGTGAGGAATGGAAGTAAAAGGCAAAGGCCCTGGAGGTAGGTTTTCAAGACCCCACCGAGGTCCTCAGGGGCAGAGCCTGCCTGTCCACCCCCAGGTCCTCTGCACAGGTGTGCGTGCCGTGGCCTTCGCTTACCACCCCCTCAGCCTGGGCACCCTCACCTCACAGGCGTGGCCGTGGTCGGGACAGGAGTTGGCTCACCCAGCTGGGGGGAGCAAGCCGTGTCCTCACACAGAAGAGGCAGGGCTGGGGCCGTTCCTGTCACATCTGCGCGTGTCACATCTGCCCCGCACAGGGAGCCTCCCAGGTGGCACGCTGTGCCCAGCAGGAGGGACTGGCTTTCTCCATCCTGTACCCTGGTGGCTGGGGGGGACTGGAGGGATAGGCGCTGGCTTAGAATGAGGTGAACAAGTTTTCCATCATTTCAAAGGACGTTTATTACTACAAGGAGCAAGCTGTGTGCAGTCTCAAGTGACCCTTGCTTTTTCTGGAAGGTGACAGACATGGTGGTGATAGCGATCTAAACAGTTACATTCACCAGCGGTTACTTTGTTTCCAGTGCAGTTACCCAGGCCATTTCCAGCTGAAACAGACCAGCCAGGTAACTGCTGCTCTGCCCACAGGGGCAGTTGGTCACAGCGGTGTGTGCTTCACACTCACACTGCATACACGCGGGGTCTCCATGGGCAGAGGAGGAGGGCAAGGAGAGGAGGACGGGGACCGTTGGGTCAGGACTTCCTGAGTCTGCGCCAGGCTGGGCGCTCCCGCCCCTGTGAGGGGTGGTCAGTCGGGCCACAGGCACCGATTCTTTCCAAAGTAGGAGTCCAGCTTAGAGCAGTGGGGTCCAGTAGGTGGGAGGGAGGAGCAGCGGGTCAGGGTTAGGTCCTCCAGCCCATGGCCCTGATGGCCCTGGCCCTGATGCCACCCACAAGTCACGGGCTGGCAGGCCCTCGGGAGCCAGGTCTCACCCCGCCCACGTCCAGGCGCTGGGGTTCCCAGACACTCAGCTTCTCATCAGAGGGACCACCGTGCTCTGCTCGGCTCCCCTGTGCCCTCACACCTTGCCTGCCTCCAGCATGATAAGCCATCTGGGATGTGGTGCCCGCCCACCTTGCTGACTGGGCTCTGCCTGGTGGCCTAGACTGAGACGAGGTGGGGTTTGGCCTAAAGTGAGCAGTCTCCCACTTGAAAATGATGATGCTGGGGACAGGTTTAGCTTAGCAAGCTCAAGGTCATGAGTTTGATCCCCATACCAAAAAAAAAAAAGATTTGACAGCTGAGGGTAATCCCAGGACTCAGGAGGCTGAAGCAGGAGAATCACGGTGAGTTCAAGGCAGCCTGAGCTACACGGTGAGTTGGAGGCCAGACTAAACTGCACAGTGAGGCCCTGTCTCAAAGAAACTGAGGCAAGGTCATAAACCCTGGGTGTGAGCTCGATGGTGGGTGCGATTCACACAGCACTGAGAACACCGCCAGTCTGGACGTGCCCCACATGGGACCCTCGGTGGTCTCAGTCTGCAGGGCGCCTCACAGCCAACCCGGGAGGCGGCAAGGATGGACACACTGGCTGCTGTGGGAAGCAGCTCGGCCAGAGCGCTGGGTGCCAGCAGGGCCACCAGCAGGGCACTGCCTCAGCCGCGGGGCCTCGGGAAGCTCCCCAGTCTGGGCTGTAGCTGTCACCACGCTGGGGCGGCAGACCCGTGACCCCACACATCTCCAACATGGAGGACATTGTAGCAGGGGCAGGCACACGCCGGGGGCACGGCAGCCTGGTACTCAGCCAAGCGCCTGTCTGCGGGGGTCTGTGTGGGGGCCCAGCCAGGCCAGGATGAGGTAGGTGCATGAGGTTGCTGCCTGCTGTTGTGTGAGCTTGTCCTCCCCCAAGCCCTGCCCTGCCCCCCAGCTCCCCACTTCTCTGAAGATAGGAACAAGCTGGAAGCTGCCCCCTTCTTGAGGCCCTTCCACTTATGAATGTCACGGGGAGACGAACTCCAAAACCAGTGTTTGTGTGGCTCATGGGCTGGACTTTGGAGACCGCCATCCTCCGCGGCACTCATGGGGTCCCCATTCTGGCAACCACAGGCGACCGCACAGGTCTGCTGCCTGCCTCGGCTCAGGCACCAGCGTTCCTGCGGGCCTGTTTCCTGCCCTGTACCCTGCACGTCCCTGAGTTTGCACACCACATTGGGCTGCCCTGGGAGGATGCCGCTTAGTGCTTTTTATGTCAACAAAAGCAACTGTAAGTTTTCCTGCTTCTTTTAAGGCTGAGTTAGCTACACTTCTTGGCACTTGGGGACAGACTGGGTTTTCGGTCTGGGCTGCTGACCGCCTTGCCCACAAGGACGGAGCTGCAGCCGCGCCTCCCTCTTCCTCCCCCTGCATTCGCTGTCCTGCTGTTGGGCAGGAGCAGAATCTTGTCCTGGACCAAGAGGAAAAATCCGGTATAAAACCGACCGTCGCCCTGTGCGTTCCCTGGCCGGGGGTAAAGTCCTTTGTCAGAGTTCCTGTCCGTAGACTGGGAAAATTCAGGAACGGAGTAGCTGTGGACACAGATGCTTTTAACTCTAGTAGGCACCTTGATGCTGCTTATAAGACCAAAAAGGCAAGAGACGCTGAAAGACAGGATCTGTGAAGCTAACGAAACCGAGCTTAATGTAGCAGAGAAGACGGCCCCTTCCACCGGCAGTGTCCACTGCCCACGGGAGCGAGCGAGCGGCCATCCTAGGGGAGGCCTTGGGGCAGTCAGGGGTCCTGGCTGTGACTGGGCCTTGCACTGCCGGCACTTGGGGGAAAGCCTGGCCTCCAGCCCACGGGTCCAGGCAGGGACAGAGCAGCACTAGTGCTGGTTTCTTTAAAGGACAGCACAAAACAAGATTCCATGTGTCCCTGGTGCTCTTCTGCTGGGCCTCCCCAGTGCCTCGGGCTTAGCACTCGGCGCTCTTACGTGTCAACAGCAACCTTCACCTTCAAGGGCCTAACACAGCTGTTTTGCCGGCCAACAGGAGTGCGCAGGGTTGAAGCCGGAGCCAGGACCCGTGAGGGCAGGCTGCACTCTCGCTGTGCGTCACCGAGAACCCTGCCCGCTCTGCTCACCTCGTGCAGCCGAGCGGTTTCCGGTGCTGGGTGTGACAGGGCAGAGCTGCAGAGTCCGTCTGGGAGCCTCTCCGTCCACTCAGCAGTCAGGGTGGCAGCTGTTGTCTTGGTAGCTACACAGAGGTTCTTTATCATCATCTGTCCTACCAATGATTTTGGATGTGATACCTGAGGCTACCTTCGAGTCCTGTGTGCTAACAAACTTAGAATAAAGACGGGAACTGTTTTGTCATTGCCTGCAGCTGGAAGGCACGAGATTCCCAGACTTCTGGAGGGGGCCACAGCCAAGCTGCAGGCACAGAGCACCCCTTCCACCTCTTCACAGCAGGTCTCCAGGAGCAGGAGCAGGAGCAGGAGCGGTGGCCTGCGCCCCTCAGGCCTGGGCAGGGTCTTGGGTCAGTTGCATTTCCCTGTGCTCCAGTTTTTACATCTGAAGCATGGAAAGTTGCTAAGGGCAGAAAGGGATTCCGACAGGACTGTTCTGGTCTTCAGACTCCAGCTGCTCCACACTGGGACCCACCCTGCCAATGCTGCTGCCCTCGCTGGGCAGGGAGACGGGGCTCTGCACAGATGGGAACACCGGCCGGCTATGGTGGGCACCCAAGTGGAAGCCAGCCTGAGGGCGGCTATCCAGGATGCCCTAGACCCAGGCTGTCTTAGTCTAGAGCAAACTGACTCCAAATTCCTCAGGAGTGTCAGGGCAGCGGCCATGCCCGCCACACCTGCAGCAGACAAGTGCATGCTGGTCGGCCATCTGGGAAAGCCACCTGGGCAAGGAGCCACTAGCGCTTCCACTGAGGGGCACGCACAGCCCTGCACTGTGCTGCGGGTGTCTCGTGATGGTGCCGTGTACTGCCACGGAGGGTGCCCTTGTGCACCCAGCGTGACCGGGATATACAGAAGCCTGGACCCCGGACAGAGTTGCATGTACAAGTACAAGACACATATCCCACATGGAAGGTTCTCAGGGCTACAAAGAGCAGGAATCTTTATTTGGTTCACTTCAGGTCTGCAGCAACCACTTGTTCTTAAAAAAGAGGAACGGAAAGTAAGATGTACAAAAAGATGTAACATCCCTTTAAAAAGCAACCCCCAGTCGCCTCCTGAGCCTCCCTCCTCTCCTCTGTCCCCTAACCCACCGTGAAGGAGCGGGGCGTGAATGGATAACGGAAAACAATAAAGCTGAATGTAACTGGAACATGCTCTAATCTTTAGTTTATTTCTGGTTAAAAATATAGCAATCCAGTGCAGTGTAGTAAAGAAATCTGCTCGAAAGGTAGCAGAGAAACAGCTAAACATAAGCAGAGCAAGGCAGAGTCCATGAGGCGGGCTGTACCCAAGAAGACTGACGGGGAGGCACGTCCAGGGTCTCCTCGGGCAGGAGCGCAGGGTCCCGCGCGCAGATGCACCTGGACCGCCCCGCGCACGTGTGTGTGCGCACGAGAGCGGGGCCGAGGGCCCATGTACCCCTGGCTGCCTGGCCGGGCAATGGGGCAACCCTGGGAAGGAGGCAGAAACAGAAGGGACTGTTTGTGTCTGACTGAAACAAGTTACATTGCACATCAGGGATATGCAAGAGTTTCTGGGGAGTTTCAAGCCACTGGGTGTCAATGACATTCCTGTCCCGGGACCAGACCCACTCTGGAGCAGCACTGAGGCATCTGGAGGGAATATGCATATCTGTCAGGGGAAGTCGAGGCAGGCACAGTACAAAGATGTGAGAACCCGTGGAGGTCAGTAACAGCGAGAGGTGACGTCCCGTACCGGGGTCACTGCCAGGGACACAGAAGCCTGAATATACACCCTGCATACTAGGTGCAAAGTCGCCACATGCTCAGAGACCAGGCGTGCGGCAGAGTGGCCGGGCCGGGGTCAGCCCCGGGCTCCGCGCACAGCCTCCCTGGACGGGGCAAACAATGGGTGTGTGGAGGAGTAGGGACTTCGCTGTAAGACTCGGTGGGGAGGCGGCCTGGAGGCCGCGGGGCAGTGCCGAGAGGGAGGGCGTCGTGGTCTGTTCCTGGAGGGACAAGAGGCCTGGCCTCCTCCCCCCGGAGTGTGCAGCACAGAGTTAGAGTAGAAAAGGCCTGCGCTGTCCCGGCTGGGCTGGGACCCGCTTCCTGTGCTCACACCGGACCTGTCACCAGCTATTCCAGAGGGGAAAGGCTCAACTTCCCTAAGGCGGCTGCTCCCCCGACCCCGCCTGGGCCTGGCTAGCTGGGCTCCCCCAAGGCCACCACCTTGCACACCCCCAACCAGAAGTGTGAGGACAGCAACGACGCGATGACCTTTTCTTTTTTGCTGCTGGTTCGCCGGGATCCCTCCTGTCCACGTCCAGCTGGAGGGTCGGCGTGCCGGCCGCCTCCTGCCATGCCACACAGCAGAGTGTTTACAAGCGAGGAATTTTGGCTAAAATCCAAAAAACATTACCCAGAAAAAAAGGCAAACTGTGAGTAATACCCAATCATGGTGTTCTTCTATGAAAAGACTTGGGAGTTGTGGGGCTGTCCAAGCTAGATCTTCCCTCTCCGCTGTTTTGCTTTTAATGGTCTTCGGTACACCAGTTGGTCGAGACAATCGTATCAGATGAAAAAGTTGATAAACAAAATGGCAACTCCAATGTTGAGCAGGATCACCATGACGACCAGAATGGGAGCCGAGCCCTGGAACAGAAGCAGAGAGAGGTGAGGGCGGCGATGGCGGCCACCCACCCCGGCCCTGCACGGCGGAAGTGCTGAGGGGCCTGGACGAGTCTATTTCTGGGGTCGCAGGTGGTCACAGGGCCGTGCTCTGGGAACCTCGGCCGGCTCCCCGGCCCCTCTGGGGAAGAAGCCAGGCCCCTCTCTGAACAAACCGGGTACCCGGCATCAGGCCGCTCCTCCCAGACAGCAGCAGACCCCCTGGAGTGGCCTGTAGCCCCCTGTGCGCTGGCTCACCGGCCCCAGCCACCCTCCCGCAGCGCCTCTGTTCTCCCCAGTGGCCTCATGTCCGTCAGACCCCCGGGGCTCCCTTCTGCAGTGACAGCTGCAGGCAACCCTGCCTATGGGCGGCTGCACGGCAGGGCAGAGGTCACCCTGCGCTGGACCTCAGCAGCGCCCTCCTCTGATACCAGGTGTCCCCGAAAGCACAGCCTGCCACTCGGGAGGCGCCTCCCAGAGGGGCCTGGACTAAGAATGCAGACACCCACGCAGTACCCTCATGCCCAGGGCCACTAAAACAGGCGCTGACCAGGCCCAGCAGCCTCCCCAGTGCTGCTCCTGTCCACCCACAGCTGTGAGCCCCCGGGAAGGACCTGTCCCCCCTCCCCGCACTGACCACGGCAGGAAGCCACCGCAGAGGGCGCCTAGCAGGGCAGCCCCAGGTGTGCACGGCTCCCCGGGGCAGAGATCCTGCTCCCGTGAGGGCCGGGCCTCGGCTGAAGGGCCCAGGCTCAGAGACAGCCGCTTCCCTGCCTCCCATCCCTTCAGGGTCACCTTTGGAAACTCGAGTGAGGGTGGCTTTCTCAACTGAGCGGTGACCGGCAGTGCCTGCCTCCCCACTAGGCCGCGGCTCCCGAGCCCACAGCCAGCTCCTCCCTCTGGGAGAGACCAGAAGCACAGCAGTCCCCAAAAGTTCCACTGGAATCACTACATGACGGCTCCCCCACTGTACACATATCACCTCCAAACCACATCCACTCAAAGCCCGAGCATGAGCGCTCTTGGCCGCCTCAGAATGGAAACCAGTGTCCAGAATGTGACAGGGTAGGAGCCCTGTGCCCCCGCTGCAGAAGGCCACCTGGCTGTGACAGCGAGGCCCTGCATCATGCGTCACACACGTGAGAAACAGTGCCGGGCGAGGGAAGCCAGACAGAGGCCACCTGCTGTGTGAGCCCCTGGACACAGGTGTCCAGAAGAGGCGAATCCACGGACAGGACACAGAGCCAGGGCGGTGGAGGGGACTGCGTGGCAGCTGTGGGTCTTGTAGGGTGACGGGAACGTGGGATTGACAGCTGCACAGCCCTCAGTATGGGAGAACCGCTGGGCTGCATCCCCGGGCAGCCAAAGCATGTGGTAAAAACTCACCAGGAAAGCAGGCGTCCACGGAGGCGGGGAGGTCTCCCTGTGGGGCATCAGCAGAACTCCCCGGGCCTGTGGCATCGCGAGGTGCACAGCCAGGAAACCCACCCCATGCAGGTGTCCTGCTCGGCCGTGCCCAGGGAGAAGTAGCCCAGGGCCCTGGCAGCCTGCAGAGCTGTGTCCCTGGTCAGGTGTCCCCTGGCTGTGCCACTGGCTTGACTGACACTTAAATGGTGTCAAGACAGCCACCGGCCCACCTGCTGAGGACGCTGGGAGCCCGCGGTGATGGAGTTACATCACATCCGGTTTGGTCTCCAAAGCGCTGAGAGCTAAACCAGGCCTGCCAGGCCCAGAACCTGCAGCCCCTCTGGGCTCCGCTCTCCACCCAATTTGGGCACCTTGGTCTGCCGACCGCCTGCAGGTGCCTTCCCAAGGGAGGCCCGCCTGGGGGGGACACACTCGCTAGAGCATCTTAAGAGAACAAGGGATGTGCTCCACTAAACTCCGGCAGCACAGGGCTTTCTCAGACTTGGCTGAAGGAGGACGCAGATGGCCAGCCCAGCCTCCGCCTGGAGCAGGCCCAGGGCTGTGCCTGGCAGGAGGGAGCGAGCTGGCCCCGGGAACTTGTCCTCGTGAGGCAGAGAGCTGTTTGTAAGCTGGCAAGGCCTCGGGGTGGCCGAGACACCAGTCTCCCACTCCACGGCACTGGTGGGGCCAGCCCTGAGGGACAGGGAGATGCCCTCATGGTGGGAAGGAGACTGTCCCTCGATGTCCTGGGCTGGGCCAAGCAGGCATCCCGGGGGGGGGGGTCCCAGGAGCTCAGGGGACCTGGTGTGGTCCACACACCACTGACCTGGAGCCAGCACCAGCCACGGCAGTCACAGACCATGTCGCAGAGAAACAGGCCCAGGGATGGAGTGCCCTGGTGTCCCCACCCGGGGTGACGGCACCAAGGGCCAGAACCCCAGCCCTCCCTCGATGAGTGGCAGGGACTCGAGTCTGAGCTAGGCACAGGTAGGAGGCCCCAGGCTCTGGCATGTGTTGGGCTGGGCTCTTGACAGTCCCCGCCCCTGAGTCCCCTGAGGGGGAAATGCCCACAGCGAGAGGACACTGGGTGCAGTGCAGTGTGCAGAGAGCTGGGGCTCAGGGACGGCTGAGACAGGACACCCTATCTCAGCTGGGGACAGCACTGCTCTGGGGGTGGGGACAGTGCCTGAGGCCTTGCCTGCCACTCAGGAGGCCGGGACCAGGGTGCCACCAGGGGTTCCTTTCAGGTACGCTAGGGGCCAGGCCGCCCACTGCAGAGGCCCCACGCTGGCCGACCCCAGGGAGCTTAGCTTCGAAGCACCCGGAAGCACCAACTCGGTTAAGCAGGCTAAATATAGAGCCTGCTCCGCAGCTCCCACCCCTGCCCATCACTCCGCGGTTCCTAAAATAGCCACGCGCACAGCCGCCGGCGGCGTCGGGAAATGAAGTTGTAAGTGTGAGCTGGTATTTCGGTCCCAGCAGAGCACCGGGGCTGCCCCTGGGCGTGGGGGAGGGGAGCGGCTCAGGAGGCCTCCGCGTGCGTTCCAGGGGTGGCACAGACGAGCCCCTGCCCCAGCGAGCCCACCCTGCAGGAGCATGACCCCAGCAGGACCCGACTGGCTATGAGCCCTGGCAGGCACAGGGACCTTCTGAGTTTCTGTTCCACAGCGAAGCCGAACCCTAACACAGGCGCAAGGGGCCCTGCTGGGTGGACACTGCTGCCTACCGACCTGAGGCTTCTTCCACATCGCTGGCCTCCCTCCCCACGTCCCCTGGGGCGCTCAGCCCTGTGCCAGACCCCCGGCCTGCCCCAGGAGGAGGCCCTCGGTGAAGACAGAGCCTGGGAGGGGGCGTCTGGCTCAGTGGGGCCTCACACAATCCTGGCTTGGGTACCACCCCACTTGCTCCCTATAGGGGTGTGAGGATCCTGAGGTCAGGGTGCAGCCCAGAGCCCACATCCCTCCTCTGCTCCCACAAAAGCAGCCATGTTCCAGGACCGCGGCGCCCACTGAAAAGCAGGCCACCGGCGGGAGAACCTGCTTCCACTGCGGGCCCAGAATGGGCACAGCACCCCAACCAAAGGTGCCCGGGAGCCAGGAGTGACCGGACACAGGTTTCCTCTCACAGGGCTGAGCATTTTCCTCACCCAGCCTCGTGGGCAGTCCAGGTCCCTGCAGAAGCAGCACCTGGTCGAAGGGTCCCCCAGATGTACCCCTACCCTAAGAGGAACTCAGAATCGGCAATTCCCCAGGCAGAGGGCACCTGCGCAGGCGGCCACTCACCGTGCTGGACTTCAGCTCATCCCCCGTCTCCTCGTCAGACTCCAGTGCCACAGGCAGGGACTTCTGGGGCGGGGAGAAGGTGAGGTCCCAACGCAGCAGCCGGGGCTCGGGCCGCTCCCCCAGCCGCAGGCTCTCCAGCTTCTGCACCGTGGGCTCCGCGGAGGCCGGCCTGAAGTTCTCCTTGCTCTGGGACTTGGGCCTCAGTCTCTGCAGCCCAAAGCCCCTGTCCTCAGGGGCACGCCGCTCGCCACCCGCGCCCCGGCTGTGGCGCCGCCTCTGGGGGTGCACCTCCTGGGGGCCCGAGTCCATCCTCAGCAGGGGCTTCATCTCCAGCTTGTAGGTGCTGGGCTGCTCTTCGTCGGGCTCGGGCAGCTTGGCACCCCCGGAGCTGGGGTTGCTGGCCCGGTGGTGGGAAGTCCACGAGAACGTGGTGGGGGACTCCGTCCGCCGCTCCCGGGGCTTGGGGTTCCCGGGCAGCTTGTGGCCCGAGCTCCGGGTTCGGAAGTCCTCGGCGGGGTGGCTGCTGCGTAGGGCGCTGCCACGGACGCCCCTGGAGCCGCCCGCCTTCTCCTCGCCCCAGCTGTTGCGGGCGTAGTCCCCTCCCCGGCCCTCCACTAGCATCTGGATGTCTCCACCCCGCTCCTCGTCCACTGAGACCTGCCGAGAGAAGTGGGCCTTGTTCCTGCAGGCGGGGGGTGGTGGGGTGGCCGAGGGGCTGGCCGGGAAGCTCTGCAGGGGGCTGTCGTCGGGGGTCAGGTCGGAAGGGGTGGTGCCCTTGCGGTACAGCTCAGGGCTCTCCTGCTGCAGGGGACTCCCGGTGGACAGCACCTCGATGTCGTCACAGGAGACCTGGTGCTGCGGCCTCTGGTACTCGAGCCCTTGAAGGGGGAGAGAGCACAGAGCAGGGTTACCTAGAGTGGCCCGGGTAGGGGGTGGTGGCCCAGTGTCTGCCCCGCAGATGCTCCAGATGACCACCTGGCCACCACAGGGCAGGGAAGACGGCACCCACCTGGTCCTTTGGTCCCCCACTAGCTGACCGCCTGCTAGGTGCTGGAGCCTGGGCAGCTACCCCCCTGCCTGCTAGGACAGCACCCCTGTGCCTCACAAGTGACAGGCCAGGCCACTGACCCCATCTGTCCTGTGGGGCCCCCAGAGACCTGGCTGTTGTTCCAAGGCTTCCAGAGCCAAGGTGCTGTGGGGAGGAGGGAGCAGATCTGGGACCCAGAGCCAGCTCTGCAGCCTGCAGGCAGGGTCCCACCCAGAGGTGGCTCTGTCCCAGGGACCTCTGACCCACAGGGCGGGGAGCGTTTCTAGGAGTCCCTCAGGTGCATCCCTTCTAGTAAACAGTCACACTTGAGCCTCAGAGAGTCCCAGCAGAGTCTGGGACACGCACAGCCTGCTCAGTGAGCAGAAGCCTGGGCTTGCCACCCCTGACCCATGGGTCACAGAGCTCTATGGGGGGCTGCCACCCACAGCCACAGCCATCAAGGAGGCATCTTTGGGTATAGGACACCAGCCCAAGGCCACCCAGCAGGGACCACACACAGGGCCTGAATCTGGAAGAGCAGAGGCCCAGAGTCCAGCTGTGGACAGGGCTGGCGCCTCCAGGGGCTCAGCCGGGTCCCTGTCCAGTCCTGCTGCAACATCACGTTCAGGGCTCTGTGCCATCAGGATGACCTCACCTGGAGGTCTCCCACTTGATGGCACCCCGGGGTTCTTCCAGTGAAGCCAGGCTTGGGGCTGCTGGGCGGCGCCCCCCCTCAGGGCTCGCTCAGATGGTCTGAGCCCCTCCTGCTCTTCACAGCCAGGCACGCTGAGTCTCTCGGAGGGGATGAAATGGGCCCATGGCAGTGGAATCAGCTAATGACATGCAGGGCAGAACGGGTGACCCCCAGGCTGGGGAAGGGGGCTGAGCAGGGTTCTGTCTCCACACACACTCTGCAGGTGGCCTGCCAGGTGGGGGCTAGTCCAAGCCATCAGCGACCCGGTGGCTCTGATCCTCTGAGCCCAGGACACCCCAGGCTATAGAGCGAAGCCCTGACAGAAAACCAGGCAGAGCCTGGCCACCAGGGTGAGGGCAGTGGACACAGGAACCTGGGAGCCCTGTCCTGACTTTCCCTCCAGACCCAGTGTAGCAGGTCTGGCCAGGGAAGAGCCAGATGTAGGAAGAAATGATGGCCCCCGTCACATCCGGGCCAGAATACCAGGGAGAGGTGATGGCGGCCATCTGCGGGTGGCAACAGGGCTGACCCTCAGAACAGAGCAGGGATGCTCTACCCCTTCTGCTCCCTGTCAGGCCGCAGCAGCAGCTCTGGGCTACACGTGGGACCACAGGTCCTGCTCCCCACTCTCTCACCGTGTACAGTGCGTGGGTGGAGGTGAGGACCCCAATCCCACTCTTTGGGGCTGTGGAGCACAGCCGAGGCCACAGGTGTGGTGCATGACAGCCCACGGGACCGGGCTGGGCCTCCTGTGCCGAGTCCCTCAACCTCAAGGCTCTGGTGGTGTGGGGACCAGGCCACAGGAGGGGACGCCTGGCACTAGCTGGGAGCTGGAGGTCCAGGCCCTTCCCCGGGATGTAGCACAACTCCCGGCCGCAGGGCAGCCCAGCCAAGGGCACCTCGCCAAGGGCTCACGGAGACCTGGTGCTCCATACTCACAGGAGGTTCCCAGGGGACCTTCCAAGGGGACAGGGCAGGCACTCGGGCCAGGCACACGCAGACATGCGGCCGCACTCACATACGTGTGGCAAGGCCACCTGGACATTCAGGGGCAGGGAGGGGCGCTGATGACACTTCCGCTCGGGGCAGAGCCGAGAGCTGGGAACACATCGCTGCCACACCCGAGTGCCCGGCAGCCCGCGGGACTCACCGTTTTCCCGGTGCTGGAAGGAAGGCGAGAACTCTTTGGCAGTGATCCTGGCGATCCGAGCTTCCTCCTGGGCTTTCTGAGCCGCGGTGAGGGCCGCCTCGGCCTTGGCCCGAGAGTGGGAGGTCCTGGGGAGACGGGGAACACTGAAGCCTGACAGGAAGCAGGGCAGCCCTGGGGCTCAGGACAGCGTCAGCCTCTCGGAAGCAGTAGACACAGAGCCAGGCCACCTTGCCAGCCCTCCGGATCTGCTTTGTTCATTCAATCATTCTATCATTCATTCAACAACCGCTGGTACCAACCAGCCAGCCTAGGCCAGGATGTTCTGGGAATGTGTGTGTTCTTCCTGCCCTCAAACATCCTTTGCCTGTGCATGCAGAGCCCAGGACAGGGAGGCCACGCCCACAGGAGACCCACTGGTTTGGCCACCAGCCTGTCCCACTGCAGGGGCTGCCAGATGCCCTCCTTGTCACCCAGCATAGCCAGGCCCCGGGAGTGGGCGCAGGGTGAAGCCCAGGACCACACATGGCTGAGTCCCGAGGGCCATCCTGCCTCGAGACACAAGGCTGGACAGATGCACAGGCCTGGGGACCACCTCCCCATCACCGGTCCCCAACACCCCAAGACAGACGCACACTGTCCCCGCAGGTCTCCCGGAGCCTCAGCAAAGCCCGGCGGTGCTCACAGCCTAGGACGCCCTTCCTCTCCGCGCTGCAGGCTGAGGGCCCAGGCTGCTGCCCATGGTCCTGTCTGGGCAGGACCTACTTCCTGCCCGAGGCCGCACCTCCTCCCTGTGTTCTCGCCTTAGGAAGAGGCAGGACGCTCTCCAGAGCCCCTCTGGTAAGGGCACTGACCCCACCCCAGACCCCCTCCTCAATCCCCCAAGTTCCTGCCCCAACACGGGCAACCCAGGACACAAGCCAGCCCTGCCCCTCCCACAGCCCTCGGTGGTGAGGTGGCTCAGCTACCCCCAGCCCTGTGTTCCTGTCTCAAAATCCCGCCACGCTAATGGGGACAGTCTCTCCAGGAGTAGACAAAGCTCCAGCACAGAGCCGGACACACAGATCTAATCTTGGCCGCTGGGGACGCCTGGCCCCCGCCACCAGGTTTCCTTGAAGCCCGCTGCCCGGCACAACCTCACCCAGCCACCAGAGCATAGGCTCCGGGAGTGGGTAGAGACAGGGAGGAGGGACGTGCCTGCCAGGGGGAGGGGGCCACGAGAACGGGGCTGTCATGGAGATGAGCTGTTCACAAAGCCCAGGAAAACTACCATAGACCAATCGCTGAGTGGTCACCGGGACCTCTCAAGGCCGCCCCTCCCCGAGGGTCCCCGCAGCCCCACGGGGCAGCAATAGGAGGTGCCCGGGGCACCGAGCAAGGCCTCGTCCCAAGATAAAATCTCGAAAAGGGAGGAGACAGGACAGTCTCGGGCTGGCCATGAGGACATCTAGCCAACGGGCCGGTGGGAGGATACCTCGCTCCCTCGCTGAGCCCGAGTCCCCATCCGCTGTCACAGGCAGCTGTGGGACCCACAGCAGGGCTGTAGGGTGTGGTGAGTCCCCCCGTCCCTGCAGGCAGCCCCTCCTGACACGGGCCAGGCCCTGGGCTCACCTTTGGGCTTGTCTAGATCCCCGATAGCCAGGCCAGGGAACTGACAGAGGTACCCTTATCTGGCCTGCCATCCAGCAGGGCAGGAGCTGCCAGGCACAGGGTCAGGGCAGGAGAGGGCTCTGGAGCCGCTGTGCCCCCCTCCCGTGTTCCTGAGGGATGACAGCCGCCTGGCTCTGTGTGCCTAGCACGGTGCTCACCTGCTACAGCCCTGGCTGCTGTGGTGACGGGCTTTGACCCTCCAGGGGCTCAGGTGGCATCGTGGTCACCACCAGCAGGCCTGACTGGACCACCCCCAACTTCAGCATCCCCAACGTTTGAGGACACCCAGCTGCCTGAAGATCCACCCGGCTGTCCCGATGGCTCCTGGGATCCCACGGAGGGCTGGGCTCCTAGCACAGTGCTCATCCTGTGCAGGCCTCTCCGCCCTCTGGGATTCGTGCTCTCCACCCACACTGCCCACCGAGGAGATGAGAGCCCCAGTCCCTGGGGCAGCCTCATGCCCTGGGCCTGCCCTGTCGCAGGACTCTCTGATACTGCCACTTCCTGCCCACTCTGGGGCTGAGGAAGGCAGGGCCGGCCCTGTCTGTGAGCCCAGGACCAGCGCCAGCCCACAGAGGGTCAAGGCCTCTTCAGGGTGAGCAGGCACCACTCTTTCCTTGAAGAAAACCTGATGGGTGAGAGCCACAACTCAGGGCCAACAGACGCAGGAAGGGTCCAGCCGGGACCAGGAGGTGTCCAGGCGGGGCAGGGCCGTCCTTTCACTGCTGCTGTCCTCACAGCTCTTCAGCTATTAACCAGCTGCAATGAGCTGCCCTGGCCACAGGGGGACACGTCCCCACGAGGACCGGATCCTGACCCCTCCTCGTAGAAGTGTATGTCACTGCCTCATGAAGGTCACCCTCCGCTGGCCGACTTTAAGCTTCCTCGGGAATAATAAAAACCAGCACCACTGCTCTGTCTTGGTGCCCCGGGCTGTGCAACCCGATGAGGACCCGGGGGACCCCTGCCTGGTCAGGCACCTTCCTAGTGCCCATAGGCTGCAGATGAGCGAGCTCCAAGCCACGGGCACTGAGCTCTGGGCAGAAGCCAGGACGCCGGGCAAGAAAGGCCTCGGGGCCAGTGACTACCTTTGTTGGAGATGCCCTGGGAGCCTCGAATGGCCCCCTGGGTCCCCTGGGGCTCAGTGCTCCTTCTGTGCTGGCCCATGTCGGGGGCGCATGGCAGGAGGGGAGCAGAGACAGCTGTGGATGGAGACGCCGTGGAACAGGGAGCCCGCAGACCGAGGGCCCAGGGGAGAGGGTGACACCAGTGACCAGTGACGATGGCGCAGACCAGGGGCCAACGGTATCAGAGCCCACACCTCACAGACAGAAACCCCCGGGCTGTGGAGTTAGGGGCTACAGCCTGGTGAACATCCACCAGGGCTCAGGTCCAGGACAGGGTGGCCTCTGGGGCTAGCGGGGACAGAGACTCCTCTGACCACACCAAAGCCCGCAGGTGCCACAGCAGCACATGCACAGGTGGGGACCCAACAGCATCCCCAAAACAGACACGCTGGAGCCCTGAGCTCAGGGCCCTGGGGGCTGGGACCTCCTCCAGGGCACCGAGGCCATGGGTGATGCTCAGCCAGCAGGACTGGGCCCCTCCTAATCAAAAGGGACATCCGGGCAGAAATGGCACCAGGAGGATGCCAGGAAGACACATTTTAACTCACTCTGCAGGTCGGTCACCCAATGGCCAAGCTAGGGACATTGGGAGGGGACAGACCAGGGCCCCGAGGCTCTGAGGGTGAACCGTGCTGAGGGACCTCACATCATTGAAGACCCGACTTGGACCTCAGAAAGTTGGGGTGTCAGGCCCACAAAGAGCAAGAGGGCAGGAGGAGCCAGTGGCCAGGGCACCCACCGGGGACTTGAGGCACAGGATGCACAGAGGTCTGGGCAGGACCTTGACCATGCTGGCTGCCTTCTGGCCTCGCTGGGTTGCTGGCCATGGAGGGTGGTGGCAGGCAGGGTCTGGGTCCTGGACACGTCATGTGTGGAGAGGAGCCCGAAGCCTGGGGAAGACAGGCCAAGGGGCAGGATGGGGACCAGGGAGAGGACATGTCCCCTTGACAGCAGCACCCAAAAAAACCTGGGCCAGGCTCACACGTGGACACCACAAGCCTCGGGAGAGATGGTGCCATCCCAGCCTGCTGCTGTGCACACCAGGACAGTGTATGTCACCTTCCACACCTGCTGCCCAAACAGATCCCCACCAGGAGGGCAGAGGCTCAGCACGACCTTAAAAATACATCAATGTCAAGAAAGAACCCTCTCAACTGGGTACCATGGTGCACACCCTTAATTCCAGCTACTCCAGAGGCTCAAAAGTTCCAGTACAGCCTGGGGAACTTAACAAGACCTTCCCTCAAATAAAGGTACAAATAAAGGTGCATCTTGGCATTCTGGGAGGCTGAGGCAGGAGGATCACAAGTTGGAGTCCAGCCTGGGCAACTCCGCAAGACCCTGTCTCAAAAAGAAAGAAAAGAACCAGCGGGAGGGGCAGGGAGAAACAAGTGGGCTGGGTGGGCTCCCAGCGCGGGTGCCTGCGGGCTGCAGGGCACCCTGGGTTGTTCCCAGGGCCGTGAGAATGGAAGGGTACCAAACCACTGCAGGGCAAAATCGGACAACAGATTCCCTTTGCCAAGGCTTCAGTGAGATTTTTCTCCCTGCGCCAGGAAAGCGGCGGGGAGCTCTCTGTGGAGCCAGCTACTCGGTTCTGGGATCGGGTGGAAGCCCCAGGGCAGGGCCGGGCCCCCTCCTCCTGTTTCCTTCCTCCCATCCCCCTTTTCATTAAAAAAATCCTCACAGAGCAAGGCGTGGTGGCTCACGCCTGTCATCGCAGCACTCGGGAGGCTGAGGCAGGAGGATCGTTGCAAGTTCAAGACCAGCCTGGGCTACAAAGTGAGCTCAAGGCCAGCCTGAACTGCATAGCCAGGCCCTGTGTCAATAAGACCAGGAAAAAAAAAAAAAAAAAAACCTTCAAAGAAAGGAAGAAAAAATGCCAATGCCCTCCATGAAGAAATGGTGCCCAGACTGCGTGTGCCCAACTGGCCAGCTGCAGTGCAGCTGGGTCAGCAGAGCCCGGAGCCCCAGGGTGAGAGCACGGCTGGGGACCCTCTGCCAGCCTGGAGCCCCGCCAGCCGGAATCACAGCCACGCCCTGCGCGGTGCAGTGGAAGGGCGGAGTCCTTGCCAGGGACTCTGCGGCTGAGCCCTCTGTGTGACGGGCAGCTCAGAGCCTCCGTGCCCCTCAGAGCCTCCGTGCCCCTCACGCCTGGCAACCAGCCCTGCCTGGCTCCTGGCCCGACGTCTGCTCTCCCCACAGAGCCTTTCTTTCTTTCTGGAGGAATCGAGGCACCTCGGGGCAGGACATGGGACAGGACAGCGCAGGCGGGGTGGCAGCACATCGGGGACACAGTGGCCACTGCCCTGTCCCTCTGGGCAGCAGCGACTCAGGGGCAGGGCAGCCGCCCC